TCTTAGAATGTTAATATATCTGTGTGTGTCTGTGCGCGCTCCACTTCCCGACTCATTGGTGCGGCCTCTGGCATAAGTTTATCGGGTCGAGAGTTCGAATCCCGTGGCACGGACTCTTCAAATCAATTAAAGCACAACGGGTTTCAACCCAAATGGGGGAAGCATTATTTTGGGCCCACCAGAAGCAGGCTCTTCAAATCAATTAAAGCACAATGGGTTTCAACCCAAATGGGGGAAGCATTATTTTGGGCCCACCAGAAGCAGGCTCTTCAAATCAATTAAAGCACAATGGGTTTCAACCCAAATGGGGGAAGCATTATTTTGGGCCCACCAGAAGCAGGCTCTTCAAATCAATTAAAGCACAATGTATATATATATATATATATATATATATATATATATATATGTATGTATGTATGTATGTATGTATGTATGTATGCATGTATGCATATATCATATTCAAATTTATTTTGCAGAAGATCACTTCTAGTGGCTTGAGCATGATGCAGACATCAAAAGATGGACCAGCATAATCACGCCAGAATGTGGTGTAATTATGTCAAGCTTTTTGTTCGTCAAGCATAGTTATGCCATCCTTCGAAATGGCTACGTCAGTTGTGGTGTGGTTATGCCAGGTTCTCACATAATCACACTACGGCCTGATTAAGTTTGTTTGACAAAAAATGTGAAGGCAAAATTTGACAAGTGATATATAACCAATGCATGGGACGCCCTAGAGAGTTGGAGAGAATTTGGAGCTCTCTATAGCATGAATTAAGATTATAACCTTAAGGGCCCTTCTTCTTTTTCTGTGGTGTTTTCACTTTGTGTTTTGAGAGTTGTACTGAAAGAGAGCGATTGTGTGTTGTTTGTGGGAAGGATAATGAAAATAGTTCTCATTATACAACATGGATAGGGTCTGTTGCAGAGAGCATTGACATGTTGTAATGTTTGTACTTTCCTGCACTTATTCTTCTATCTTTTTAATGAAATCTTTCCTATTTTTCCAACTTCATGGATCAAAGCTACTTCTTTTGTTCATGTTTTTGTGATGTCAAGATAGTTTTTTTTCTTTTATGTTTCGCCGTCATTTTTTTCCATGAATGTTTCTATGCTTTTAAAATATTTATGTTGATACGTTAACATTTTGATCATTATTTCTTTCTAATATGATCAATTATATATTTAAAACTTCTTGTGATCTAGGACTTCTAAATGTTACCTAGAAGAACAAGTAGGTTAAGACATGTAGCCTAGTAGAATAGATATATTATTATTAGAAAATCACAACTTAGATAGGGGACCAGGTGAACCCCGATAAATGCTATATAGTTAAGTCTCTTTTAATTGTAATATAATTTTCAACTCTTCTTATAACCAAGCCATGAGATAATAATGAATTGTGTCCCTAGTTGTCAGCTATCACATAGAGAAACACATAAGAAACTATAGAGACAACACTATTCCGGTGTCACTAGAGCATGAGCTTCATCAACTCTAAAGGACTCAAAGTTGATATCTTTTAATTTTCTTACTGCTTCTTGTAGAACTGTTAGATTTTCATTCTTGTATTTGGATTATTTAAAATTAAATCAAATGTTTAATAAATTAGAACTTTTTCTACTATAAATATTTTGAGACTAATCATTACATGACACATAGACTCATAATTTTTATATTTGTTGATCAACACATATACTTTTTTGATGGATTGGCCTGTTTTATAATAGATTTTAGGCATCAATATTCATGTTGAGGAATAGAAGAATGATCCTATAAGGTGAAATATACATTAACTACTCTTCTTGAACAACTGACTATAGCTTTGTTGATACCAACAAAGGATATGAGGGTAGAATTTTAGCAAAATAGCAATCATGACTTACTTAGAAGAAATCTAGAGACAAGTAAGAAAACTGATGTAAAAGAAGCATAAGAATACACACAATAAGATAACATCTAGTCCACCAACTCTAGGATACAGCTGCAAAGAAGATGAACGAGTAGCCAACCTTCTCATCAGAAAGATACTCACAAATAGACCCCCCTACTACAAGCTTGCCATCTAAATAGAAACAAACATAAAATAAAAAACTAAAACATGAGAAATAAACTGAAACATAATGTGGAAAACACTAGTACTAACACTCTTATGTTATTCTCCCAAGGTTTGAGAAGATTCGACTAGGGCTTGTAATTTAGACTAAAAAATATTGATCATGATAGAGTCATTTTAATCCACATTTAGGTAAAAATTAGTGAATCAAATATCTTTCCTTACTACTACATTCATCAGAGGAACACTATACTAGAATTGTGTAACTTTCTTTACCGTTTGAGATTCATCATTGCTGCATTTAATTTTCACCCGCTTATCATCCAACCTTATGTAGCCTCAAACCCTTTGGTTTAGCTCCTTGACAAGAAATAATAAAAACTAATGGATCTATCCATTTTTGTAGATAATCATGTTCTATGAACACTACCAAATCCTTATCTGGAGTCCAGATCCTCTCTAGGATTATGATGAAGAGGATCTTTAACATTTCCTATATCTCTCATTGCATCAACATTACTTTTCATATAATTCACTAGCGATAGAAGGAACCCTTCTAATTTTAATGTTATTTGCAATGAACTCTACTAAAACATGTTGCTAAACCTCTTTAGGTGAACTTTTTACTCTAAGAATTTCAATGCATTTTCTTTTGTCATAAACGGGGTGATCATATAAATTTTTCCACAATGACTATAACATTGGACCTTCAAAACCATCAATACTTGAGGATTCATGAGGAAATGGGTTTCATCTTCTTCCTAAAGAATTTTTTTTCTTGATCCACCTCATATTCTTCCAATTTTTATTGTTAAAGAACAACTATTCCTTCTTGAAGAAACAAGATACCCCATTGTAAACTATTTGTAATGAGCTATTGAATGTACCTTTGAATAATTCTTTGTGGAGGCATGTTGTTTGAGTAGAAAGTCATTGTTTGAGACAAGGAAAATAGTAAGAATAGTAGTACTGGGGACCATCTAAATTGGAATTCTCACCAATTGTAGTAAACAAAAACGTTGGAATCCTACAAAATTTAGTATTTGTGAACAAAAATATGTGAATAGAAACCTTGAATTTTTAGACAACAAATAAAATAAAGGCTAGGGAATCCATAACATTTGGAACTTGCTAACAAAAATATGTGAATGAAAATCTAAAATTGTTGGACAACAAATAAAATAAAGGCTATGGAACCCACGAAAGAAAGCAAGATTGTTATTTTTGAAGGAAATTTGTAGAGGAAAGGAAGAAGAGGATGAAAAAACAACCCAAAGGAAGAATTGTAGCAAAAAACAACCGTGAAGAACAAGAAGACAACAAAAATTCTCTTTCAAAATAAAAAAAAAAACAACATGGAAGAGACAATATGGTAGAAGACTTATTGATTCCAAGAAATATCGAAAAGACACATTTACCAGCTCACCAAGATGGTCAGTGGATCATGGAAAGCATTGGAATCAATAAACCAAAGCTCTAATACCAAAATGACACCAACAAGGGATATGAGAGTAGAATATTAACAGAATAACAAGCAAGGGTTGTCTTTGTAGTCAAAGAACAGTAAAATAAATATTATTGATGAAAAGGAAGCACAAGAATCACATGGAAAGACACCATTTGGTCTACTAACTCCAGGTTACAGCCGCAAGGAAGATGAATGGGTATCCCAACCTTTCTAAACAAAAGAAACTCACAATTCTAAAATCAAAATCCGCCTCTATACATAAAACATCACCTATTTATAAACAATAAGATCCTTCTTATTACAAGTTTGTCATCCAAATAGAAGACACATAAAAAAAAAGAACTAAAATATAGAAATTGAGCTATAACATAATGTGGGTAACATTGGTACTAGTGCTTTTGCATCATTTGCTTTCTTTAATAATTAATGAAGTATCCTCTAATATAGATAATTATCAATTTGCATCTTTTATGACTAGAAGTTTTGAGCATCAACTTATCAATTTCATTTTTTTCCCCTCTTTATCTGAATTTGAAAGCTTTCTAAATTAAAACTATGATATTAGTTAATAAGATAATAATGAAATTTTGGGAAAAAACTAATCAAACAAAATGAGAGAATAAAGTTGACAGAGAATAACATAATTTATTATTATTTATATAAATCCACAATTAATAAGAGGTTAGATAATTCATTATACCTCAAATGTAATGGATATGGAAAGAGTTTATATTTTATACAAAGTTAAAAATAAAAATTTGGGTAAATTTCAGTTTATGTTAATTGTTGTGAAAGAGCCCATTCAACAATTAAAAAGAATTTGTATATCAGAAGCAAAAAATATTGTTTTTTATGATTATGTTCTCATATTTATTACAAAAAAAAAAACTAATGGTTCTTCTCTTATTAGAACTAAATATAATCACACAACTCCTCTCTTAGAGAAGTTAAAGTGAATCTCCCTACCCTCTTTGTTTGCATCTATTTATAGGATGTGAAATCATTTATTGTAAAGCACCTCATATAGTACCAACAAGACAAATTTTAAAATAGAGAACTAATTACAAGATTTTATAAGAACCTTTTAAATAAAATATCTCATAAACCAAAAAAAATTAACTAAATCTAATATCACAATTAACAACGCATCACAATAATATCAAATAAAATATTTTATGGAAGAAAATCTTGACATCATAACTTTTAACACATTTTACTTCCAAAAACTAAATGACAAGTTAAAACTATAGAACATGGCCTTTTTCTCTTCTAATTTGTTGTGCTTTTGCAAACACTTCACTTCCTCTCTCTCTCTCTCTCTCTCTGACGCACACACACACACGCACACACATTCACTCACTCACTCACTCACTTTGGGTTTGTATCAATCTCTTGATACAAATGATAGATAGATGGAAGCACATAGACATACAGTTTGATTAAAAAGGCCTCCCTAATGTGAACTCGATATTGGGCTCCTTCGATCTGGTCTCTGAAAGGCAGGAAGAGTTAAGATCTGATATCATTTCAAAGCTTCTGGATTGTGTCTCACTCTGCACCATGTAATCCAAATAATGCTTTCTCAATGAATGTTTCTTCCTTCACCATAACTTAAACTTTATTAAAAGCACAAAATCAATGGAAATCAAAGTCATTAATAAAACTTGCATGGGAATATTGTTCAAAATTGCACCTCACAAGTTGACAATCTCCCTCTCCCTGCTGAGGTATAGCCCTTTGGTTTGTCAAGCAATAGGTCTTCCCTACTAAAGAAATCATTCTTAGAATGTTAATTTCAACAAGTGGGAGCTGACGCAATTAAAGGAGAAAAATAATGGTAGATATTTATACTGTGGGAGAAGAAAAAGGCTATCTTTCTCTATCAGAATGCTATTAAACTCCAACCTTTATGAGGTGTGGAAAAAGAATAAAGTTACAATCCCATGTGAGCAGTCATTATTCACAACAAAAGAAAAAAAAAACTCGAAGTGACATTCTACTAAAAAAATGTGCACTTTTTCTTATATCATTTCACATATGTGAATGCAACTTTATTTTGCTGAGGATGTGCAAGGTTTAAGGAAAATTTATATCATTAAGTAGGAAAAAAATATTTGGTGAGTGCAAACATACGTCTTCGGTGCAGATCAACGTGAAATAAAAAGGGGCGACCAACGGTATAACGCGTGCGTTCTCTGTATATACGAAGAATACATATAATATTTTCTCATAAGTAGAGTTCATCGTTATCATAAATTATTTTTACATATTACTAATAGAAGTAATATTTGTGGTCACATTTTTTTAAATGTTATGGTCGCTCTTTACAGAAAAAAATGACTAATAATGACGTGATCAAGTATTTCATCATTTTCTTCTAATAAAATATATGGCTAAATTTGAACCTTTAGCCAAATGGACACTTTTTTTACTTGCACAATCAATATTCACACCTTCGATTGATAAAAAATGATTAAAAGACACTTTTTTAAAAAAGGAAAATTTACATACATGCCAATTAATCCTTACATAGTTGTATATTTAACGCTTAAACTTTCAATTTTTTAATATATGTTATCATACAGATACCTGAATACATGTATTTCACACTTTATAAGCAATATATATATATATATATATATATATATTTAATGTGATATGATAGAATTAGGTGATATAAACGCAAAAAGTAGAAGTCAGTTGTTAGATATGTAAATACATAGGAATTGGTGATATGTATGTAAATGCTCCTTTAATAACAAATGAATATTAATATGATCTGTAGTCATACTACTTGGAAAAAAAAGCTAGTTGAAGTGCACCTTAATTATTTTGAATGTAAAAATGAAGACCTTGCTATTGAAAGATTTTAAAGGTATATGCAAACTTTAAACTATTTGCATTCAACAACTTAACACAGAATCCAATAACCCATCCTAAGGAATAGTCAAAAGGCTCAGCTAAGTTTTGCACCAATTGGTCCACAAAATCTCTGAAGAAAACCAAACACAATCTCCATTTGTTTCGGTAAAGAGATTTGTGATTTAAAGTCTAGATGTCCAGCAATAATAGACATATGGACACCCATCTCCATAATAAATGACTCGAGATTAACTCTTCTGTCGTGCTATTCTCCATAAAATGTGAGAGCTAGACTGAAGAGGGGCATAATGGATAGCCTTGTAGCTCTTTTTTAAACTACTGGAAGTGATCATTGTACTATCATGGAGGTTCAACGTCCACCTGATGCTGAACAGATGGAGCAGAGGATTTGACATCTGTTGGCTTTTTGTGGATTGTTTTGTGAAGATATTCGTTTTATATATACATCTATGGAGCTGAATGCGGAGAGTTTAGGTAGCTTTATTCATCTTTCTCAAGAAGCCTTGAGTTTGTGATGGTGAAGTGGATCTGGTCTATGCCTATAGATATATATATATATATGCAAGTTTGTTATAGCTGGTTGCAGTGAAAAATAATATATAATAGTTTATTCTTTTATTATTTTTATTCTTCATCAGCTTTATTTTCATTCGCTTTTGACACTCATTGATATGTATGATTGCTTTATAAATGATTACTCTCCATGATTCCCGGTGGTCATTTAAACCTTCAATAGATCAGCTAATTATTTGAAAGCTGCTAAAGCGTTTTAGTAAAATAAACTAAAATTATTTTTTAAAAAAATTTCTATTACAATGCAAATAGCACTGATTAATGGAAAGCTGTGAAAAAGTACAAGAAAGAAAGATAACTTAATTGATGTTGGATCCAAATCTGTATGGTAGATCGTGTCCGAGGAATGGAGCGTTGAACCGAGAAGAGGGATCGAGAGAGAGAGAAGATAAGGACATCCCCCGGTCGGGGGAATGGGGTATTCTCGGACTCGTGGACCCATTTTATTCCATAAAATTTGAGGTTACAAATGAAGGGTGCCCCCAAAAAAACTCTCTTCCCTTATTTACATCATGAAACCCTCCTATTTATAGGAAATAAAAGGGATAAAACGTATAAAATTTACATATTTGATTATGCTTTGAAGAGAGAAACAAATGACATTTTAATCATTTTTATTACAACCATTGGATTGTCTTGAGATTGATGCAGACTTTCATGTCCAAGTTTCTTTACCTAGATACTAATGACATGCAATACATAAGAAATTAAGTGGCTTTTATGTGAATTTCTTGAAGATGATTGTTTCTTTAGTGTGGCTATCTGGCTGGTCGAATGAGAGAGTTGGTCGATTGACTGAAAGGAGGTGACCGGGGGAGAGAACTTGGCCTAGCAACTGAAATGAGCTGGTTGAGGAAGAGAGCTTGGCTGGTCGACCGAAGTGAGATGATTAGCTACTGGATTGCCTTGATATCCGCGCAGACCATTTTTGGTATATTAAGTTCCCTAACTTTCTTGCTCCTTAATAGTGACAACTACAAAAGGATAAGAAAATTAATATACCAAACAAGCCTTAAATATGTAATTTGCTAATGATACTTCCTGGTATCTGCTTTTCATACTTGGTCTGGTATATTTGTCATCATTTGCTGAGTCTGTCGTTATGACATTTTTTCTGTCGGAGAAAGTTGCCTGTTTATGGTGGCCGGTCGGAGGAAAATTCAGCCGTCAGAGGAAGAGTTAGTCATCGGAGGAAAATTTGGTCATCGAAGAAAATTTCTAAGAGTTCCTTTCCCTGAAGGGGGAGTCTTGTAGTTGCTCACCCTGGAGGGGTGTCTCGCCCAAGAAGAGAATGTTAGAGTTGCTCGTCTTGAAGGGGAGTCTTAGAGTTGCTCGCTTTGGAGAAAAGTTTTGGAGATGCTCGTCCCGAAGAAGAGTCTTAGAGATGCTCGCCCTTTAGGAGAGTTTTGTATTTGCTCGACCCGGAGGGGAGCCTTATAGTTACTCGCACAGGTGGGAGGTCTTTGAATTGCTCTCTCCGGAGGGGAGTCTTTGAGTTGCTCCCTCCGGAGGGGAGTCTTTGATTTGCTCACCCTGGAGGGGAGTCTTGGAGATGCTCGCCCCGGAGGGGAATCTTGTAGCTGTTCGTCCTGAAGGAGGGTATTGCAACTGCTCAACCGGAGAAAAGTTTTAGAGTTGCTCGCCCCGGAAGGGAGTCTTAGAGATGCTAGATCATAAGGGGAGTTATATGACTCTGACCGATCGGTCGCTCTTGTCGTCGTTGTCGGTTATTTTTTATGCCTTTGACTGACCGTACACTCATGACGTCGATGCCAATTTTTTTTTTATGCCTTTGACTGACCAGACGCTCTTGGCATCGTTGTAGAATTTTTCTTATGCCTTTGATTGATCAGACGCTCTCAGCGTCATTGCCAATTTTATTACTCGAGTTCAAGTTCCTCGAGTGCTAGAAACAAATGAATTGAGATGTATGCATGTAAGTATATAAGTATGTAGAAATTGAGTGGTATATGAAAATATGTAAGAATTGAGTCTTATGTAAATCTTCCTTATTTTGAAATGGCTGATTGTAGGTGGAGGCGTCGGGAGCAGACAGTCGAACGACAGTTTGTTGAAATAATAATTCTCTTAAAAAAATGCCCCAAAGATATTAACAAAATTAAATGGTGCTCATAAAAAAATTCATACATAAACATTAACATAAAACCTTAAATGAAGAATAACATAAAAGATCTCAGTGAATGTTATGAATTAGTGGTGGTTGGTTATAAGAGATAAAAGATGAATTCATCACTTTATAAATCCATGCAATTCTTAATCATAATATATCTCATAATTGTAAACACAAAAAAGAGGAGAGAAGTGAAGAGAGCGAGAGGTTTTTGTAATATATTTTCCAGACAAAGTGGGTGATAACCAGATGATCGCCAACCATAAATCTAATAGAAAACAAAGGGGGCAACCTTATTGAATGAGTCGAACACCACTCTTCGACTGTGGTTATAACAATTAGAATTTGGAGGTCCATTTAACTGACCTCTACGGTCGCTTTCAATGATAACATTTCTTTTATAAGTTATGGCTTTTCAGTCTTCTGTAAATAAAGTTCATCATATATATATATATATATGAGAGTGGTTAATGATAATAATAAATTATAAATGAATTGTACTGTCGTCTTTTGCCCTTTCTCTATTACCAAATCTTATTTAGTTTCCAGGTTCTATTGTTGTTGTCATAGGCTTACTTAAATTGAATTAAGTAGTAGTTTTTAAATTCTTAGGTTTCCTTTTTGACTATACTAAATAGCAGAATCTATAGATAATTTAATCAACCTATCTTCTTGGGCTTGTGAACCCATTTTATTCCATAAAATTTAAAGTTACAAATAAGAGTTGTTCCCCCCCACCCCCCGAAGAAAAAATTCCCTCCTCTATTTATATCCTAAAGACCTCCTATTTATAGAAGATAGAAGAGGTAAAAGGTATAAAAATTTCATATTTGGCCATGCTTTGAAGAGAAAAGCAAGAAATATTTTAGCCTTTTTATTTCGACCGTTGGATCGTCTCGAGATCGATGTAGGCTTTTAAGCCCATATTTCTTTGCCTTGGTTCTGATGACATTCAATACTTAAGAAATTAAATGACTTATATGTGACTTTCCTGAAGATGATGGTTGCTTTAGCGTGTTATCTGGTTAACCAAAGAAGAGAGATGGTCGACTGATTGAAATGAGGTGGTTGAGCGAGAGTGCTTGGCCAGTCGACTAAAGTGATGTGGTCGAGGGGGAGAGATTGACTGATCGTACGAAGCGAGGTAATCAATAAATTGCCTCGATTTTCGTGCAAAACATTTTTTAGTATACAATTGAAATGATCGATCAGCATGATTGTCAGTACCCTTTAATTGTTTACTAATAAGGCCAACTTGAAAATATTAGTAGCCTATTGTATTTAGTTAATTTGTATTTTGATTTTCATTTAGGCTCAAGGGAAAACATATAAAATGTTGGACAATGAATTGTTTGTACATTGCAAGAAAAGATTGCAACAAGGTTCTGAGCCTGATGAGAAGAAAGCTTTTATCCCTAATGGGAGGAAGATAAAATTTTATTCCTCGTGGGAGGAAGAGACGTGGAAAGAGAAAAAAGTATGACATGAATTTTTGTGTCTATAGAGGAATTTTTTATATATTATAAAATAATTACTCATCACCTACATGTCCCTAAAAATCTTTGACTTATCCTTTCTTCTCTTCTTCTAGCATTGGCAATAATTAATACCATCCTTGACAACGTCGTATTTTGGTAGATGTTCCTCATAAGGCTCACTAATCAAATCATTAATTGCCCACCATGCTTTTGAATTGAACCAACATTAGTCAATTCATCTCTAGACCAAATCATCATTCTTGAATAACTCAATCTTAAAGGTTGTGATGTGAATCAAATCCTTTAACAAGCTGATCACCATAGATTTATGATCAAGCATGATTCTCTAAATGACTTAGTTGAAGTGGCAATGTCCAATTTACTTGATGAACTATCTGACCTCTCATGCAAGAGTCATACTCAGAAACTGGAGCTTGGCTAAGAAACTCAGGATTTTAGCTTAAGATATACATTTAGTCTAGCTCGACAAAGTATCTAGCTCATAGTCCTTGGCTTGGACAAGAAATGTTCAGCCAGACATAAGGGAAGTATTTTTTTGACATAACTCGCTATTTTCTCTTCATTTGGAAATTGAAGTTAAGATATTTAAAATATCCTATCTGACCCAAAAACTCTCTCTCATCTATTGCGCCCTCACCAAATAATAGATATTGATAATACAATTCAAATGATACCAAAAGTAATTCAAATTGAGTTCAAATGAGCCTATATTAAATAGTGGAAATATAATTAGAAGCTTTGAAGAATTAATTGAATGATTGAGTGATTTTTAAATTTGGTATGCTCATAATCAAATCAAGCGGCTTATTTAGAGGAATCCAACACGCTTAATCATTCTATTCTAAGGTTGTTAATTATTCATTGCAATGTTGAGCAAATGATATACAATGAAAGAATCAAACATGAATTATTCAATAGAATTTTTTGGAATTTTGGGCAAATTTACTATTATGTCACTCTCAAAGTTATAAATAACAGCTCATTTTTCACATTCATGAGAAGGAGAAAGAGATCTAATAATTAAATAGATATTCATTGTTCACAAGAGTGAAGAAAATGGACAATTGAGAATTAAATCTACTCTCATAGGGAGAGTTAGAAGTTAATGGTCACAAACGATTGTCGACCATAACCAGGGACTATTGTAACCCAATTACTTGTTATTGTTGCCTTATTATGATGTCTAGAGTGTTGGTGTTTAACCAGTTACTTAATTGATACTGTTATCCATCCATGTCTATTATAACCAAAGAAGTATAAATAAGTATCATAACTTTTTCTTCTTTAATTAGAAAGAATATGTAGAGGAACTTTATAAATGTAATTATATAATTAATTATTTTGAATGAGTTGAACCTCTTGATGTTTTTTCCTTTTTGAAATTTTCATATAAAAATTTTATTTTGTTTTATCATTTAAATATATATATGCTAGCTCGATATTTCTACTTTGCTAAGACTCCATATTTTTTTCCTCAGCTGTTGAATATTTTCTAGCACATAACAACTCCTAAAATAGCTCTTTATATATATGCCTTTACAATGTCATTTTGTGAACATTTAAATGATATAAATAGCTTGGTTGAAAAAAAAGATATTCAGAGTTGAATTATTCGAATCTCTCTGTTGAGAAATTAGGGCGAAGAGAAAACATGAATCGACACAAATCCAGAAGAACACATAAAGATTTATGAGGTTCAGCAAAGATGCTTACATCCTCGAAAACAGAGCGATAAATTCCTTTCAATATTCAGAAAAGAGTACAGAATACAAGATTCAGAATCTCAGAATCTCAGAGAGTCACCTAGGATTACAAACATGACATATATATGTAATTAATTAAATTACCCATGTACCAAACCGCGGGGTGTTGCCCCCGCACCCCTAACCCACATAATGAAACTCCCTCGATTGGACAGATCCTTCCGCTGGTGGGCTCCGCTCCGCTCCAACATCTGTCTCATTTATGGTATATGGTATATGAGTCATACCTAATTCATACCTAATAAATCTCCACCTTAACGAATATCCAACCCCTTAGGAGAAATACATATACCCAATAAATCTCTACATTGGCGAGTATCCAGCCCCTTAGGAGAAATACATATGCCCAACGATTCTCTACCTTGGCGAAAATCTAGCCCATTAGGAGAAAATACTTCATGGAGTTTCTTATGCATTAATGTGGGTTGGGCTACAAATTTTTTTAAATAATCCATTAATTAAGATTCCCTTAAATAAATTTCCCTTAATTAAGTATTTTTCTCAATTAAGATTCCTAGAAAAGCAACAGAATCTTTCCGAAAAAGGATTGAAATATTCTCTTAATTAAGTTTCCTTAATAAAGTTTCCCTTAATTAAGTTTCCTAAAAAAACAACAAAATCTTTCTGAAAAAGGATTGAAATATTCCCATAGTTAAGTTTCCCGTAATTAAGTATTTCCATTAATTAAGTTTCCCAGAAAAGCAACAAAATCTTTCCCTTTCCGCGTCCGCCCTTCCAATTTTGCTCCTCCGCTGCTCCCTCCAGCAAAGGAAATAAGATTGGAGGAATATTTTACTGCCCCCAGTATAGTAAAATCCCCTCCAGCAGCAAAGGAAATCAGAAGCTCTTCCTTTTCTGGTTCGCCTCAAGCAAAGGAAATTCGAAAGTTCCTTCCCCAGCCGTGGAATCAAATCAGATATCAAAGATTCCTTTCTGATTTTCTTCTCCACTCCAGGCTGCAACCAAACTTTCTTTTTTTGACGCCCCCGACTTTGGTTGCCACAAAAGGAAGCCTCGCCGAACTCCTCTTCCCTGAACTGTCACTGTCGATTTTCACTGAAACCTTTGTGACTCGCAGTTCCGAAATGTTCTACCGAATCGCCTCTCAAACCACTTCTATCGTGAACTCCTGCGTCCAAAGCCTTCCTCTTCACGCGAATTTCATTCGTAACCCGTCGTCAGATCCTCCTTCAGTCGTAGGCAGAAGAAGCCCTGCAGAATGCCACGATTCACGAAATGATGCCCTCGCCAAACTTTGATGAAGCCAAATCGCCAAATCCTCTGCGCCAAAATTCTCGTTCGACCGAACTCCTCTACGACGAATTTGAAATGCCTTGAATCTTGTTGAAATCCTTCCTTAGCTGCCAATCTCCTCTGCCAAAATGTTTTTTATTTCTGTGTCGCCCAAATTTTTCTTCATTGCCCTCGAATCTGGCTCTGATATCACTTGTTGAGAAATTAGCGTGAAGAAAAAACAGGAATCAACATAAATCCAGAAGAACACACAGAGATTTACGAGGTTCAACAAAGATGTCTACATCCTCGGGAGCTGAGCGGCGACTTTCTTTCAATATTCAGAAAAAAGTACAAAATGCAAGATTCAGAATCTCAGAATCTCAGAATCTCAGAGAGTAACCTAGGGTTACAAACATGACATATAAATAATCCTATAGTACAAAATGTAATTACTTAAATTACCCCTGTCTGTACCAAACCGCGAGGTGTTGCCCCCGCACCCCCAACCCACATAAGGAAACTCCCCCAATTGGACAGATCCTTCCGCTCCACTTCGCTCGTGGACTCCGCTCCATTCCAGCATCGGTCTCATTTATGGTATATGAGCCATACCTAACACTCTCATAAGAACATTCGCATTCTAAAACAGATGAAGAATTACATAGAACAGTGTAACAATGCACCAAACAAAATAGAAATTGCAATAACGTTAAATATAACCATTGAGCCCAATTTAAAATCTATTCATTATGTCTAAGTATGAAAAGAAAAAAAAAAGAATCTTTGCCGTCATGAATGAATCGAGAGAAAGAAAACAATCAGTCATTTGCTTCTTTTCCTCACAAGCCAAGCTTTACTTAGCAAAGTATATATTTTTTGCGACATATTTCTTAGAAAAAATCCATGAAAAGCACTAATCTCTCCTCCCCAAAAAGAAGTACTAGCCTGACCTTATCAGATTTAGTTTACTGGATGTTTTGTAGCATACTCTTAACCCCGCGTGAATTTAACGTAAATCCAGTCAAACACTAAAAAGATGTAATTTAAATTTGAATTTACTAAATCCAATTGAAGACCGATTTAGAGAATTAGAGATCAAATAATACTTAGTCAACACATGACTAAAGAAATCATTTGGTGGCAAGTTTCAGCATAAAGACGCAACAAATAAACAAAAAAGGTTTGCCATTTGCAATTGATTTCGTTGCTTGCAGTTAAGTAATGCGCAAGTAAGCTGAAAATGCTTGCTTTACCTCGAAGAATTGCTCCATAAGGCATAAAAATTAGTGCTATTTTGCCCTGCCGACTTTACATTCTCAACTGAAGATTCAGATCCGTTGACAATATTGTTTAAATCCAGCAAGTTGTCATCAAAGGTCTCAAGTGGATCAGCTTGACCTATGACATTAATTTAAAAAATGTAATTAAATGAATTTAGGGCAATAACATTGACAAACATGTCCTCTTTAACATATATTTATTGAAAAAAAAAATATTTTTACGCCACAACAAATTTAAGTTATAATCATATGATTTAAAATGCAACTAAATATTAAGTTTAGCTATGCATTTTCTTAAAAATTATGCCTAAAAATCACATCTTTAATCACTGTTTTTGAAAGCTTAATTTTCATTTTCTATGCACAATAAATATTTTAAACCTATCTTTTCCATAAAAATACGATTAAATATTTATTTTTAGTTAGAAATATTTCTAGTCACAAAAAAAAAAAAAAATTTTTCCTTGAAATACTGTCATATATATATATATATTAATCATGCTCTTTAACAAAGCTTCATGGAGCTCGAAATTTTGCAGTGGTACCTGTTAAAGGCTTATCAGTGGTTTTGACAGTCCGATACATCTGCAATAAAGCACTAAAGTAATTAATCACAAAGCACATTAAAGTTACAAATACGCTGATGAAAACAACTAAAATGGATCTACACATAATTCTTGTAATTAGAAAACTATTATGCTCCTGAAATAGTTCATAAAAAACTCATATCATAAAAGCATTTGTTGAGATGAATGATAAAACCCTTGTCAAATTAAAGAGGAGGGTACATGTACTGATAAAATGAAGTCCAAATAGTTATGCTGAATAAAAAAATTAATTTTTTTTAAAAGTGATCATCATTCAAATATAATAAGCAAAGCTGTAATTTTAGTCAAAAAAGTACTGCACTGCTTGGCTAATAATAATAAAGACTTCTGAATATAGCTCTTGCTGCATTTAATGCATCAGCATCTGTGCTTGCTTATGTAGCCACATAGGTGCGTGATGATGAATGATTGAGTAATGATGCTCGTTGTCTCCTTTTATAAATATATATATATTTTATGATTTTTGGCATTATTTTCCTTTTCCCTTTTACCTTTAATGGCATTATTTCTGCTTGAGAAGCAAAGCTAAACCCACAGATCTCTAGGGAGTGTGGAGTAGATCGAGGGAGAAGCATAGCAGGGAGCAGCTTGTAACATGCAGCAAGAGCAAGAGAGAGTACGGAGCGATAGCAACAGGAATGGAAAAGAATGGAAAATGGAAGCAAATGCTCAATTTTTCCTATTACAAATGCATTTCTTTCTAAATGCTTTAGTCGTCCCTTTCTTGTCACCAGCTAATTGTCTTACAACTGCATTTCTAACTCTCTGATAAGCAAAAAAGTTTCTAGCTTTGCTCCTAACTAGCTTTCCCCAATGAAAGAAAGAAAAAAAAAAAAGAGGAAAATGCATGACAGGATGAAAGCTAAAAAAGTATAAATCTTTGCGAAAGGGCTACCTGTAGGTGGGATTTCACATGAGCCAAGGTGAGATCTTTCACATCCATTAGCTCGAGAACCGACTTTGGGGTTGCTCCTATGAGCCAAAACAACCGAAAATGTTTAAGAAAACAATTAAAAGTTTGCATTTTTATGGTAACTGAGAATGCAATTAATCTTTAAGTACTTTCATGGCCGCCGAGGAGCTCGACAGCATGAACAAAACGAGCATGGAGAGTGGAAGTCCAGCGCATTCGGGGAGCCCTCATGCTGCGCTTCACCGGAAACCGAGGGAGAAACCTGGACGACGGCGATATCCTCGAGGAGTCTAAGGGATAGTTAAGTCTCTGATTTTGTTGAGGGAAAGGAAAGGAAGGAGGGGAATGGTAAACTGGGATGCCGCGTATGGGACGAAGAAAGGAGAGATCTTTGCCATGGTGTGGTTCATGGAGGAAAAGAGAATGGCGGTTGGACAGAGTTTGGTTTGAGAGGGAGAGGTCGAAGCTAGCAGTGGCAACGGAGGACTTGGAGGCTGTACTGGTGGTGGTGGAGTTGGCGTCGAAGGCTTTGCTCCAAAACTCCAAATGCATGGCCTCTGTTTCTGTCGTGTTGTTCCATTTCGAACTGGGTTTGTTTCCATTCGGGGGGCTTATCTGTAATGAAAGGTCAGGATGTGCTGGAAACAGCTCCATTCTTTCTCTGTTTTTTGAAAAAGGGTGGTAACAAATAAAGCTCTAATTTTTCTAATCTCTCTATATCTTGTTTAGTGTCTTCTTCTCCTACTTGGTTCTGATGCTTCTTTCTTCTTGCTTCATGCTCTTGTACTTGTTGCAGTGGTTGTGCTGCACTGATTTAATTTTCTATCTTAGATGATGGACAGCTCGATCGAGAGAGAGAGAGAGAGAAGGGAGGGTGAAGAGCAGAGGTGATTTGGAAGGAATGGAAGGAATGGGAATTCTGTCATAGAGGGTGGAGGGAGGAGGGGGGAGGGGTAAAAGAAGCGTTTAGAGATTGTGTGAAAACAGTTTCTCGCGTCCTCCAGGGAAGTATGAGGGAGAAAATTGATACTTTGGTGAGAAAAAGAGAGAAACAAAGGGCGAAAATAACAAAATAATTATGTCTGTGGTTGTGGGCTTTGGTTCCTTTCAACCAACTGTGCTCTAAGTGGAAATATTACTTTATGGTATTAAGGTATAGAAATTTTTTTACCACATGAGCAACTTCTATTTCAAATAAATGTTGTACATTAATTAATTGATAGGAGTCTTATGTAATAATCCAATAAATTTTTTATTAAAATGGGTGTATTTCATTTGGGTCTTTTGATTTATGAGAAAATTATTTTGTCTACTCATGTGACATCTATTAGAACACTACATGTAATTCCATATATTGAGGTGTTTGTTATCTTTTGTTGTATCAAAGTAGTTTTTTTTTTTATTATTTTAAATGGTGTGTATGGAAGAAGTCCTCAAGTGGATGCCTTATTAAATGCTATAACAATGCTTATATGTTATATTTCATCAATTTTCTTGATGTGCATTGAGTGCCTGCTGAAATGAAGCCTTTATTTATGACATAATTTGACATGTATTGTTCTTTTCATGAAAAATTAGGCCCACTTTCTTCTACATAATTTGGCTAAAGTATAAGAAAATACCATTTTACATGTTGGGTATGGACCATGAACTTAAGTAAATTCATTATTTAGGGCTGTTGGATGGCTAATATATGCTAACTTTAAAAAATTATGCTTGGTTTATTCATTAATATATTGTATATATAACAACTAAAATTAAATTTATGATTATATCTTGTCAATTCATTCCCAATGGCTGTTTGCTGAGGAGAAAACTGTACATATGACCCCATAGCATGGTAATTATGAGTTATCAATATGGAGTTTTGGGTTGAACATTTTAAGAAAAAAGTATGAAAAAAATAAGTAAATTATATTGCTACATGTTGTATATGGTCTTTTCACTGAAGCAGATGCTTGTTTTCACACTCTTAGAAAAGTGACACATGCTAACTATGCAATATTACATGATATTGGATTAAAGATGTAATTCACTGATGTTTGTGATGTGTATTGTGTGCTTGCTGAAGCGGATTCTTGACTTAGGTGCATTATGTGAGCTATATAATGCTATCACTGAAAAATTAGACCAAATCTCTTCAAAAATTTTTTGCCAAAGAGTGATAAAATATAATATTACATGTTGTGTATGGAGTGTGCACCACAGTTAAGTCATTATTTAGGGTTATTCGATAGTTGATATATGCTACTTTTAAAAATTTATGTTGTTCAATAATATATTGTATATATGAAGGATAAATTCAAAATTATGATTAAATATTGTCATTTGGTTTCCTTTGGTTGTCTGCTGTGGAGAAAAGTATATATAAGGCCTCATAGCATGATAATGAGTTATCCCCATGAAGTTTTGGTTTGACTATATATAAAAAAACTCTAAAAAAATGAGTAAATTATTTTGCTACATGCTATGTATGTTCGTTTCACTGAAGTAGATGCCTGATTTAAGATTATGAGGAAGGTGAAATGACTAATTATGCAATATTAGGTAAGGTTTATTTATAAAATTATTTCAATTTTTCTGCTGCTGATAGGCAGTTTGCGGAAGTGAATCCTTATGTAAGGCATTATTTGACCTATATTATTTCAATTATGTCTAATATAGTTGAACTACTATTATACATATATAATTATCAAATTTATACTTCCATCTTCTCTAATTTAATATTAGAGTGTGATTGTGTATTTACAATTCCATAGTTGATTACTTTGATTAGGCTAGGAAACATGATTTTTTTTTCCATTTAAGGGTTTTTTTCATATAAAAATTTTGGAGTCGTTCTATTATTTTTTAATTATACGCGTGTGTTGGATTTTCGTGAAACACTAAGACATTAAACTATCACTCTATTGTCGTGAATCCTCTAACACATAATAGTTTGGCATTATTTGTGAGAAACAATATTCTATTAATAAAATATTACAATATTTCAATAGTTAATAAGCATATTATACAATCTTCTCACTCTAATACTCGACATTCTATAGTGTAGTCTCGAAGTTCAGAACATCAATCCTCTGTTTCTAATGATGTGCATCCCCTAGTTGGCAAAAGAACCTCATTTTCATCTCTTGAAGATAGTGTATGAAGATTAAAGGAGTCCCAAGATTTAAGCCTCTGAACTTTATGCAAGGTACAACAATTAAAGTAGTGCAAACTACAGGGGCTCATTTAACTAAAAATCCTTCAATTAGAGGTACACATTTAGCACCCCTCCAAACGCTGAAATTTCTCCCTAAGAAGCTGTCCTTTTAGACACTATTAGCTCTACACATCTATTATGTGTAGACAAGCCTAGCAACAAGGCTCCGACATATGTAGAGATCTTAACTTGACTTCACATAATATGTGATGAGATACAATACCTATTGCAAGAAGAAGTCATTTTTCTGTTAGGCATAATTCTCAATAGTCTTCTCCATAAGCTGCGATAGTCCTTCAACACGCTTTTTAAATAAGTTTTTAAGCTTCAAAACATTAATTCTTATGATGGGATGTCTAATCAGTATCAACACATTGATCAAACCAACGCACATTGAGCTTCTGATGTGCTCCTTTGATAAGTTTTCCTTTGTTGTTCTTAAGGGAAAAGCACTTTCTTGGTTCAATTCATTCTCAAGGAGGCATTCAATTCATTTTCGAGCTTGCTAAAATGCTTGTAGAGAAATTAATTGAAAACAAAGAATTGTTAAGGAATTTTTTCACCCCTTAGGATTCATCAAATTAAGGTAAAGTCATCGAAAAATAATTTTTGATGTATCCACTGATGAGGTGAGCAACCTTCATCAAAACCTCGAAAGATCGTTCACGTTAATTTCCTAGGAATGAATAATATAGGATAATCCTTTTGTATTTCATCAATTTTACGTGATGCAATACATCTTTGAGTAGACACACAAGTCAACATCTTAAAAATCACTAAGACATCAACCATTGATCGAAGATGTTCTGATGGAAAGTACTTCGTCAACACTCCCTTATTAGACTGGAGTCTCTTCTCAACCCGATTAAGAAGCTGACCTCTTTAATTTTTGTTACATAGGTTAATTTACAAGCTCAGGTGGACAACACTCCAACTAGAGGATAAAAAATTCAGAAGCAATAGTAAAAAAATTATCAAATATTTCTCTTTATTATGGCTGCAACCATATTTTAAGAAAAATTACAATCCAACTTGACTTGCACCCAAGACTCAAGAACACAAAGAATCCTTGACACCAAATTTTGGGCTTAATCAATCTCATGAGTACTCAGTTTGACCTCTTCTAAAATATTTTACACTCATTAAGATGACTCATCGATTAAACAAACAAGGATAGGTCAAAATTCTTAGTGGATTTCTTTCGATCTTTTTCACAACAGGTTGTGGTCTTAAGCAGAAGCATTGACTAGTAGCCTAAGATATGTCAAAAATTCTTGGTGGATTTTAATTAGAATTTTTTCATAACAGGTTAAAACCCTCAAGAACCTCTGACAAAAAACCTAGGATAGGTCTAACATCCTTGGTGCTTTATAACCAGCCTCTTCGAGCATAGGCTATGGTGATTAAGTGGACGCTCTAACTAAACAACCTAGAAAAAGTCTAACATTGTTAATGGCAGACATATACTCTACCAATTTCCTTAAAAGCCACCCCCATGAAAAATTCTTGATAAGAAACTAGTAGTGAACATAATTCTTATTAGAGAAATCCCTTGAGGGCAAGTGGTAGACACATTCTCCACTTATCCACCTTAGAAAAAGGTATATGAGGTATTCCTGATGGGAGGGTAATAGTGGACACAATCCTCACTAAAAAGATCTTTTGAGGGTAAGTGGTGGAAAACGTCACCACTAGCACCCCTAGATAACAGACCCATGAGAAAGCCTTGATGGAAAGCTAGTAGTGTACAAGGTCCTCACTAGAAAGTCTCCATGAGAACAAAAAATCTTCAAAGGCTATAAGCCTCAGAAGTGACACAGACAAAAACTCAAAGGGATATGAGTCTTAGAAGATACATGTACATTTAAAAAACCTCAAGTGGCTATAAGCCTAAGAAAAATTTTACTCAAGAAGCTAAATAATGTTAAAAGGAATAATCCACAGAAAATTTTGTTGCCACTATGCTTCTAGAAGGGGACATTCACATGGAATGCATTGGATTCCTGCCAAATTTTATAATTGTTTTGCTTTCTTTAGTGGGCAAGTTATAAGGAACCAACATTCTGACAATAATTAACTAGAAGGTGGAGCAATAAAATCACAAATAGTTGGGCAAAAAAAAATATAGAAGTAGGATAACAATAGCCTAGAGGGATTGGAGCAACAATAAATGAAGAATTGAAACAACATATGTCTAGGAGGTGAGACAACAATAGCCAAGGAAATGGGGAAGCACTAGCTCAGGAAATGAGGCAACACCAATCTCAAAGGTGAAGCAACAACGACCCAGGAGATGATACAACACTACCAATGATATGGGGTGACAACTACTCAGAAGGGGAGTCAATAAAAACCTAAAAGGAACTTCAATGTCATTGGGCAACAACAACATAGAAGGGCATACAACTTCAGAAGGAATTTCAACATCATTAGAAAATAGCAGCCCGAAAGGGGAGGCAACAACAACCTAAAATGAACTTCATGTAACAACATCTAAGAAGGAAAGATGATAACAACCTTAAAGTGACTCCAATGTTAGGCAACATTAGTGTTGGCTCACATAACTAAACTGCTAATTAAGTCGTTAGAGCATAACAAAGTTGATGAGGTTCAAAAAGGGGCGTCATGCAAAATTTCACCTCAAAGCATTTCGAGCATCATTGATATGTCGAAATGACATCCGATTCTGAAATAAATTGTGCGAGTGCTTTTGGGTATTCGAGACGGTTCATTCAATATTTGTTGAGCGGGAGTTAATTTTATATGAAGTTATATATATATAATATATATATTATCAGACACTACAGTCTGAACCAAAGCCTAGGCCAAAGCTGACCAGA